GGAGGTAGTCGGCGGAGTTGTCGAATAGAAGGGAATGATTTGATACAAGGATCAAAGAGAATGAAGTTCGAGAGCGGGAGAAGACGCGAGGGAAGTAGAGATGTTCGTCTTACTGAAGCGATGGAAATAAGTAACGATTTGGGAAGTAAGGATTTATAACACGATCAAATAAGAAGTTCGATAGTGGAGGAATGTATGAGATGGAGTACTGAGGAGAAAGAACATTGGTTCACGAAAGAGGGAGGATGATAAAGGAAGCGAGAACAAGGGAGAAGGTTCAAGCGCAATGATGTCATTGCAGAAGCTTTGACCGATTTCAGAGTTCAGGCCAGGATGATGTCATAGGTGTTTTGATCTTGGGTACCAGGTGGTCTAGAGCTACGGAGCTCAGACCTCGACACCTTCTTGTTCTTTGGCGGGGCCTGGTTCAATTTGTGGTTTTCGATGAGGCGGGCCACATTAAAACAACGGTTTAGATCATGGCCGTCAAGATTGCAGAAGGTGCAATGACGAGTCGGCTGGTCTTGCTTGGCCGACTTGGATTTAGATGATTTTTTATTAGACGCCTGAGAAACAGATTCGACAATGGGTTGGTCGGACGAGCGGGTCTTGCGACGAAGCTCCTCCGCCTTAAGGGCGTCGATGACACGATCGGGGTCTACACGAGGCTCATTCATCATTGACGAGACGCAAGCCAACCAGTCGGTGGGAAGCGAGGTGAGGATTGAAGAGGAATATATGTCGTTTGGGGTCAGTGGAGCTTCGGACGTCACCAAAGAACTAAGACGCTCGAACGTCTTAGCCATGTCCTCTAGGTGCGCGGAGAGATCGTCGTTGACCATACGAGACGATGTAAGTTTTCGGAGCCAGTAAGTGACCCCTCCCGCTGAAGAATCCTGATGCGCCCGCTTGAGAGCATCCCAAAGTCCGCGTGCGTCGTTTTTAAGATGACGAACGTTCCTGATGTTCGTCGGGTGGATTGTTCGAGAAATGACACCGCACACCGCCTTGTTATCGCGAGCCCAATTGGGTTTTGCTTTCGCGTCCTCGGGCTTGTCGTGGATGACGTAGTCCACATCAGTCGCAGTGAAATGGATGTCGAGTATCCAACTCCAGTCCAAATAGTTGGACTCCGACCCCGGTGGCTTCAGCTGTTCAACGCCCGTAATCTTGAGCGTAGGGTGGCTTGCCACATCGGAGTCTTGAGTAGTAGAAGACATAGTTGGTTTCAAATCGGTCGGCGATGAATGGAAAAGAGGTGAAGAGATCTTCAGCGGAGGCAACTTCAATGTAGAGGAGAGAGAATTGGGGTCGTCCTTTGGCGACGTCGATACTAAATATTCAGTTTTTAGAAACAGTGATGGCGGTGAATTCATAAAAGAATGGCTTTAACGAAAAGCCTACGGATCCTTAAGACAACCTTTGAGTATTATCGCAGTAGTATTGCGCTGGCGCTCATAACCTGTTGGACTCAACTGGGTCAGAGAATGGTTTTGTGGAAGGATTAGAATGTATTTCATAAGCAGAGAGAAACAAAACACAGAGAAAGATGAAAAAGAAAAAGAAAGAAAAGAGAGAAAAAGAGAGAAGTGCATACCTGGGTCAGAGAATGGTTTTGTGGAAGGATGAGGAGAGGAATCCTTCCACGTACTCTGGCCCAGGTATAGTCTGAATCCTGTAACATGTAGGTGACAGGTCTGAAACAGGTAAGAAGCAGAGAAAACACAGGAGAAAAGAAACAAAACCCCAACAAATATATGTGGTCAAATTTTGTTTTTTCATGATTAATTTTCTGGCTTGACTAAAAAAGACTGAGAAGGCTTTTCTGGTTATTTCTTCCATGAACTTGTATATTCCCTTCTCTCAGTTTTTATTCAAAATCATCTTTTATTCAATTTCTTTGCCACATTTTCACCTTGTACTTATTCTATTTAAACTAATCTGGCGTATAGAAATAAACACCATTGGTTCTTTCACTCTTTTTCCATGAGCCTCTTCCAAAAAAGGACCTCTCCTTCTTGGCCCCTTTCTCAAATTCTTCTTTTCTCTTGCGCATTAGCTCAAAACTTTGAACAAAAAAACTACAAAAGACTGAGAAGGGGATCATTGTTCATTGTGAAGGCATTGCCTTGCTCTTGTTTGGTGGCATTGCTTGGAGTCAGACCTTCTGGGACAATAACCTCGTGATCTTTTTTAATTATTTTTGAGGGTTCGTGGTTTTCTTGATCTTAAACTGTTATATCCAAAAAAGATTCCTCCATGCCCCCGGGTCCAGGTGGAACGAATTCGCGCGATGCCCGGGGGCCTCCGGGGACCCACCGGGGCCCTGCTAGGGGTTTGTGTTATGTAAGCCCGGTCACACCACTTGAAGATCGAAACATTCCGGAAAAAACGTTCCGTGATCCGAATAACGCAATCTGTTGGAATCTGATGCTTGTTTGATCTTGAGTTTGTGCTGTTTGTGGGTGTTTTAGTCTCCGTTAATGAACCTTATTTAACCTCATCCGACACCCTCGTTTTGGGAAACTCCCTGAAGCGTGACATGCCCTCCGAAACCTTCGAGCTCGAGGTGCCGTTTCACCCTGTTTCACCTCTTCCTCCCGCCCAGCGGCCGCCGGGAGTGGCCGGAGGCCATCGATACCGGGCCGCAAGCGCAGTGACACTGTCTCAACTCTACAGTTGTATTCCAGACCGATTCAGACATCCAGTGACGTGATCTTTCCTACAGCTTGACTGCTTCTTCGGCTACATAACCTTTATGTAGCTGACAGCCGGTGGGCTGATCTGAGGCCTTGCAAATTGTCAGTGTCGCTGGTCTCTCTCGGCGCAATCCAAGTTGCTTGTACCTGTTGTAACAACTTCTGCCGCTTTCTCCACTCTCTTTCAATTTTGGCCCTTGGATCCCCCAACAGATAGAACATACTCTGAATTTCAGGTTGGTCGACCACGGATCAGATTGGCTAGGTACACCCCGACTGACCACTTCTACTAACTATCCCAACACAGTTAATACATTCCTTCGAAAACCTTCATCCATCCGCATCAGCCCCAAGCTTTCCAATTATCTTCGCTCGTTTGAACCACCTCTTCAACTTCCACCGGACCACTTCAAATTTCAATAGTACACCGACCCACCCACAAAAAACTATCATGTCAGTCCCTTCAACCCCCTGATATGGCTAGAGCGTCTATCCTCAAGCACTCATGTATCGCTTGCATCCACCACATCTGCCCATTTGGTTCTTTTAACCAGCTCCTAAGATTTACTCAGTGTCTGACACCCAAGTTCCCAACTTGTCAATTTAATTGCTTGTGGACCAAATGTGAGTGGTCCTATCTGTGAAGCCTTCATCATCCTGCTTGGTAGGACATATATAGACCCCCCTATTATCTTAGGAAATAAACTGGATCAAGTCACATTAACCTACGCATACATATGCACCCTCCAAAAAAACCCACAGCCATGCATTCACTCTGAACTGCCTCAAAAGTCAGATTCAATAGCGCCCCACCACAGTTTCGTATTTCCTTCTCGACCAACATATTTAAATACACGACTTTCTGCCTTCAATTGGTGGAGTATCCTTATAATTATCTCTTTCTCTGGTCCCTTTTTCTAGATCCTTCGAGAACACGTTAGCCAAGGCCAAGTGGATGGCCAATCGATGCCAAAGGATATCCCTGTTGTTGGTTTCTCGAATCTCATTCCCCATCAGCCGGATGATCATTACTGCCTAAACTGAATCAATTGATACGCCTGATTTCCTCTTAACAATGAACAGGTAGTACGTCAGTCGAAGCGCGGATGGTTGTACTTCATGACCCAAACTCCAGGGGCCCACAAATAAGCCTCTTTCTTCATCGACGCACTCCGCCTTCATCTTCCGAGCTTTTATCGTGAGTGACGGGTCTCATATTCTTCTTGCATCAAGCGTACCGTACCCAGAAAATTGAAGTGCCCATTTTACTCGTATCGTTCCAGGGCTACCTTGGGTGTGTACATTATCTTCGCCTTGGTCGTCGTAATCATAGGCAGTCTTCTCCTGGTCGTTGTGCTCCAACTACAATCGCGCAGGATTGAGGAACGGCTTCAGGCCGTCATAGCCGCCCACCAACCCCGTCAGCCCCGGCCCCGCACCCGGGCATCGATGCCCACGCCGTGCCCAGGAATCCCTCCGTCCCGTCGGCCAGCGGCTTCGTTCCCTTCGGTATCTTGCCGTGGCTCGATCCCCGACTCTTCCTTCTCCGATGACTCCCCAAATACTGACTTCACCGTTCCTCACAGGATTCCCAACCAACTCTTGAGCTTTAACGAGAAATCCACTCGCTGGAGCCATAACTCTTTGACGTTCAAATTCCTGGATGAGCCTTACTCTCCCAAATCACCCGAATCGGCCCATTCACTCCCATAGTCTTCATTCATCGCTTATCTGAACCATCTTTCATCATCATCTTGTATTGCTTAGTTTCCAGCAAAGAGTCCGGATGCGGGCTTTTCACTGTCCCGTAATAACCCCACCACCGGCAGTTCTCTCGCCTGACACATTCGACCTTCATGTTATAACTGTTGCTTTCGTCTTGATAGTTTTTTCGTTTACATGGTCATCACTCATTCCATCCAACCGAGCGACCAACGACATTGACCGACCCAAGGCTGACATAAATAATGTGAATTACTGCAACTCAACACATTCGACTGAGGCTCTGCGTATGGGACTGACTCGCCTGATATATCCATACTTCAACCCTGAACTCTTCTGATGGACCTGCTCCACAACCCGCAGGGTAACAAATTCAATGCAGTTCGATGCCCATTATCAAGAGTACCTGCATGTCCAGCTACCTCAGCTTCTAACCAACTTCACCCGTCTACGTCAATACCATCTCTCGCCAAAACTCGATTCTATGTCGCCAGAAGAGACGCAATCAAGCCATAACGTTCACGCGAAAGAAGAGAGATCCAATCATTTTCGTTTTTTTTTATTATTTTGTATCACATACCGCTTGACACCCATTTTCTTGCACAAAAAATTATCACGTCATCGAGCATCTTTCATCAGTATCACTGCTAATCATCTCGCGCGTTCATACATCTACCTTCCACAGATATCTCAACTGCTCAGTACATTGCATCAGGTTTCTTTTTCGTTAATCTTGTGCTTGCATATATACCGCCACTGCCTTGAACTACACACCGCTTACTACACACTTATGTATCACTCATTTACCCACCTTTTTTGAAAACCAAAAGTAACCCATTCTCTCATTTACTTCGCTTTTGAAAAATTAGACTGGAGGGTTGAACTTGATTCGTTTCAGTCAATGGCTGGAAAACTTGATTGCCAGGATTGACGTTGGATAATGCGTCTACTTACTCTCTTCATGAAGACACACTAAAAATATACTTTTAGACTGTTCTGCCGACTCTCCCTTGTATCATGTTGCCTCTGAGATCTTGAACACTTTCGTCAAAACATCCCTCTAGCTCCGGCCTTCCAAGGCCTTTTCCTCATTCGAGTTCAAGAAAATGTTATTCATATTCTTCTGCAACCGGACCTTTCATCTTCAAACTTCTTATCAGAATAGATCCTTCATTCGTCCGCAAGGAAAGTACAGACCCTGCAAATATGATTCACATTTTTAAGGATGGTAATGGTGAGGCCAGTTTTTAGCCTATGAAAGAGTATCATACTCATGAGCAGTATAAGTGAGGATTAACAAGCCGCTCGGACATCTTCAAGCCAGGTTCAAGACTCTTAAAACAGCCGGAACATCCATCAGGTTGCGGAAAAAATGGCTCTCGAGCTCAACCATGAACCCCCTAATTTAGCTCTTGAATGCCACTTGCATCATCATCTCTTCCCTTGCAAAAGGAGGTCCAAATGCCCAAACTCAGCATTCAAATGATGAGAAGGATGTCCGTGACAGACATCTTGAGTGAATAGACAATCCACATTATCTTATTGACGGTATTGGATGAGAAGAGTGAAGTGTCTTCATTTCCTCATTGGTTGGATACTCTTGGAACTTGAAAAAAAAAAAGAATAGGATGATATTCTTTCCATTTGGGATCTGTTGCCAAATCCCATATTCAAACCACAAAGGGAAGAGTTGAAATCAACTACTAGGTTGGCTCTTTTTGCACCTGAATCCCCAGTGTAATGGTACTCACTACCACTGAGCATTGGATGTGGTCCCAGCAGTAGAGAGGTGGTTAGCAATAATCTGACTGCTGAGCTACATGTATGAAAAGTTGCACATCAACAAAACCAGCTTGGTACTTGGCCAGTAACAGGTCAGGCCAAGGACTCTGTAAATAGAAAGCTCAGATGTTTCTTTCGTCACAACTGGACTTGGATATGGGACGTGGCAGAACATGTATCCGCAGCTATTGGTATCCAGCAGGGTATTTTGTTATTATGAGTATTGTCGTGGTCTCAAGTCACACCAGACCTCACCGTGGTCAAATCTTGGCGCGTGAGTAAGCACCTGGGGGTGAATACTTTTGTATGTAGTTGATCTCAGTCAGAGCGGGGAGAATGCAAGGCGTCTGCTGAGTCGGAAAGCACAAAACAGATAATGTTGCCATCCTGCATCAACAGTATCAGCCGAACCAAAGTCAGGCCAAGGGGGCACGACCAACAAGCAGATTAAGCATACCACTTGTGCCAGCGGATAAAAGTGCAGCCGCAAATGGCCGCAAAACGACAAAGGAGGTCGCTGGGGTGTTAAACGCAGTCATGTTTCGTCGTAGTTATGAGTCGTGGTATGAGTTGATCTTCACTAAAACGCAGCAGCGAACTTCCAGTTGTTGATATAAATAATGGCCTTCCGCACAGGTGCTTTCAAATCCAGGTAGTCACCCAAGAAGCTTTCGCCAGATTCATTACCGAAGGTGATTATCCCCCCCTTCACATCCTAGGGTGAAGAGTTTGGTTAATGTTTTTCTGTTGAATAGAAGACACGAAATAAGTTTTGCACAGTTGTGTCTTAAGCCTTCATAACTCCCGCACTTCTTGCAGTCTCAAGCATGCATACCTTACTTTTCTCCCAGCTGTGCTTGATCTCTCAGCTTGTTATTTGGGAAGCGTTGATTGGAAACGGTTTTCTTCATGTTAAAGCAAGTGAACAGCTGGTGGAAAGCCAAGCTCATGACTCTTACATTACAGGAGGTAGATACATGCCAACACACACCGGTAAGCAAAAATTGGATAGAAACCTTTGAGGATCACTCTTCTTCCCAATTCTCTTGCTCCACATTAGTGTATTTTCAGCTTCAATTTATGCCTGCTAATGCCTTTTTCACATGTCTCCATACTCTGCGGGAAAAAATGAATCCACATTGGCCGCTGCTTCAAGATCTTTGGGGTTGGGAAAGGAATTCACGGTATAGCCGGGATTGGGACAGTAAAAAAAGTTGTTAATTCTCTAACTAAACTTTCCCCGATTCTGGGCCGCATGGAGACTAACTGTAACTTTGATCGGATGATAAAACTCAACAAATATGAACTAGGGATTGAAGATCGTTGGGAGCCGATGGGTATAGAATCTTGGAAAAGGGATAGTCTTAGATGTTAGTATCACTTGTCTGTATTGCATAAAAGTGAGAATAGTGGAAACAATTTTTTACTTTTATTATACCCCATCAGCAGATTACTCTGGAGTACCAACTACTCAGTTTGTGCTACATGTTCCAAAACCAGAAGGTGTGTTTGTCCATGTTCTGGATACCTATTGGTATCTATTTCTAACCAACATCTACCATTCACAGTCCTTCCAATTCAGGAATCTGAAAACCAACTGAAGGATCTTTTGAGTCGTCTTGGGGATATTTTCACAACAACTTTTGGATTGAAAAATGAAAACAGGTTGTTGGTTGAACTGAAAGAACATTTGTCTCTCATGAATTTGGCTTTAGATGGCATCTATAAACCAGATTCCTCTTCATTCAATCTTTTTGGAACACAAATCCCAATGCATGAAATTTTAGTAAATAATTTCATCATGGAATGGAACAACATGTGGCAAAAACTGGAATTAAACACAACCTCAACCTCAAAATTCAGTGTCTATATAGAAATGGAAAGGATCATGATCTTGTTTCTCACTGAATCAATCAAGCACAAGATTGGAAACTTGAAGAATATCAAAACATTTCTCAGGGGAACAAGGGGGAAGATTTTGATTTTAAACAACATGAAAGATATATTTATAGAGGCAGAACAACTTGGAAGATATATCCTTACTATTGACTTCAAGTCTACTATAATTCAAAGCTCAGCGTATGGAGAATTGCAAGTCTTGTTGAAAGGTAATTGAGTCATTTGATGAATTTTCCAATCAGTAAATGAAACTGACTTCTGATATCCTTGAAATAAACAGTCATGGATCCAGATTTTTGGGCAGTGGTAGAATTGAACTATCTCTGTAAAGTTGTTGAAAGAAATGATAAATTGGTATCTCCATACATCAAGGAAACAGTTGAACTTCTGAAGGCAAAAACAATCCAGATAAACTGCACTGGGGAGAAAAAGTTCATGCCACATGAAGTTGCAATTGACTCAAAAATTGGAAATGAAACCCTTTTCAAGAAGTTGCTTGAGGATATTCAAATGGCTAAATACAAGAATCCTGAAATACCCCCTAGTTATGATTATTTAAACTTGAAATTGCTGTATGATATACATAAACTTCTTTTGAATTCTGATGTTGAGTATGCATCAAGAAAATTAATGGAAAAGTTTGAGATGACAACAAATTATCAATGTCTTCTTCTTCTTGAGGATTTCATTAGATATTTTTCTGTAACAGCAAATTTATACTTGGTAACAAGACCTGTTGAGATTGGATGTAGAAAATCACACAACCCTATGGAAATTGAAAAAGCCAAATACAGAATGTTCGTCTCAATTCCAGAGTTTTCTGCAAGGATAGAATCATCACAAAAATTATCTCCAATGGAAAACCCACAATTTGAAAGAATAAGATATGACTATCTTGAAAAAAAATGCACTCAAATTTGGGGAGAAACTTTCCAAAAATCAGTAGAAATGTTTCTAAATAATCAAAAAGGGGCTCTTTTGCCTTTTTTTTGGTGGAAACAAGCACATGAAGCCTACTTTGGAAGAGTGAAACTTTTTAAAAATATGCAAACATCTTCTTCCACTGAATACCCAATACTGAAACATATGGAAAGAATTCTGAGTTATGCAATAAGAGGAATCCATGGAAAAATGAAGGCCTGTAAGTGCTATTTAATTTTATATATTCAATTTATTGAGGAATTGAAGCAGGGATTTTTTTTCTCTCTGATAACAAAAATTTTATGAATTATGAGTAGACAAGAATAGATCACACAGATATTTTCTCCCTGCCAATTTAATGAAACACTTGGAATCTGTTCCAAAAGAAAACTCAAACTTGAACTTTATATTTGAAGAATATTCTCACCCAAATCCTAAAAAAATAGGATTATCATTTGGGGCTCGAAGCAATGAGGTAGATCTAAAACGCAGTATGTATATCATATTGCCATAATCATTTTGATTGAATTGAGAAGGGTCTAATTTATATCTCTTGGCTGTATGAAAAACAGAAAATATCATTGAAGTGGATGATAATGGCCCAGAAAAAAAGAAAGGAAAATGTGAGCCATCAATCAAATTTAATTCTTGGTTTGATCTGGATGAAATACTGATGAAAGATCTGAAAAATAAATTTCAACATGATTTGATTCATGATCTTCCTCATTGAAAAAACAGCTTCAACTTCCTAGTTTATTTGGCAATTATGATTCATCAATATACCAAAAGGACCTGAAGCTTGTTATCAGTTCCTCATTCATGAAAGGATCTTGGAAATTCCTTCATTTGTGTTCTCTAATAAACTTTTCATTTTTACATTTTTTTGTTTGATATCCTTACATTTTTTTTATTCTTCAATCACTCAAAGCCACTTGCAAAAAGTTGTTAAATTCTCTTTATTCTTCAAAATATATTAAATTTGGTCAAAATTACACCTCAAGTCTGTAAAATTCAACATTTATTGACTTGCTCAAGTTATTCAGCATGCTGAGAGGCTAAAATTAGTCAGAAATATGAACCTGAGTACATATGTTGAACTTGAAGGAAAAAATCAACTCAAAACATACACACATCAAGAAAAAGACAACACCAATAATATACAAAAGTGTCTGAGTTGTAGTATAAAAATAACTCACTGAAATAATTTGTTGTCTTTTTGAAGGAAACAAAATACAAAATTGAAGCAATTTCCCTCAAAAACAATTCAAAATCTGAAAGAACAGTTTTGAATGATTCCCAAAATTTTCCAAAGCAAATTTTGAACCACATGATAAGGATCTCGTGCATTGATAAACACCCGCCCTCCCCCCTCCTGCCCGCCCATGCCCCCGCCCCTCCAAAAGGGGCGGGAAGTAATACCCGCCCTTCTCTTTGGGCGGGTTTCGCTACACGCCCCTCGGTTTGCTGACATTTGCAACAAGAGGGGCGTGCAGTACAACCCGCCCAAAAAAGGGGGGGTTGGCCTGCACGCCTGGCCTGGAGGGCCAGGAGGAATCCCTCCCGGCCATCGAGACTTGTACAGTCTTGATAGCCGGGAGGGATTCGGCCCGGTCTTGGAGACTGTACAAGTCTCGAAGGCATCCCTCCCAGCCATCGAGACTGTACAAGTCTCGAAGACCAGGAGGAATCCCTCCCAGCTATTGAGACTTGTACTAGCCGGGGTACAGTCTCGATGGCTGGGAGGGATTCCTCCCAGTCTTCAAGACTTGTACAGTCTCGAAGACCGGGAGAATCCCTCCCGGCTATGTGGCGCGTTTGCGCAGCCAGTTAGGAGATGAAGGGAAAGGATTCTCCCGGTCTTCAAGACTGTACAAGTCTCAAAGACCGGGAGGAATCCCTCCCGGCTAATGAGACTTGTACAGTCTTGATAGCCGGGAGGATTCTCCCGGTCTTCGAGACTGTACAAGTCTCGAAGGCCAGGAGGGATTTCCTCCCGGCCATGAAGACTGTACAGGTCTGGAAGGCCAAGAGTCATCGGCGCGCTGACAAAAGCAAAACACTCCAGAGTGTTTTGCTTACGTCAGCCTGCCATGACCTCTTGGCAGTTGGCGTGCAATCCCACCCGCCCGTCTCTGAGGGGCCCCCCACGAGTCGCACGCCCTTGGATGCCTGA